CTCTCTATCCCCTTCTCTCTTTTTCTCTCCCTCTCTGTGTAATGAATGTTATAATATATATAATTATAAAGAAAGCATGGTCAATCAGCTAATTTAAGCGTGCTTCTGTTTCAGTCTGCCTGTATTAGCTTTTTTATACATCATTATTAGAGAAATCTTCAAGCAAGAATTTAACTACGAGGCATTGTGGTCAGATCGGACGCTCGTCAAAACCACTTTTTTCATTCAATTCTTGCTCCCTTCCCCCTCCTTGGCGAAATAATACGTGGATGAGCTCTGTCTTGACAACTCTTGTTTGTTTCTATTTTTCAATAGATGTTTTACGACCTCAGCCATACCGTTGAGATAATTTCCTGCTTGTAAGGGCATTTCCGGGTTTGAGAAGGATACCCTATCCCAGCAGAAAGGGCGAAATACTTCATAAAAAACATTTTCCACATGGGAGCCAAACTCAGGTTTTCTGTTCGCGACAGCTAAGCGCTTGACCGCTACACCACAGAAGCCGGTTTGCCAACTTGTTATCAACAAAGAGTCTACATAACAAGAGGGTCCTCTCCTCTCTTTGAGCCAATTAAAAAAGTGTCCTCAAAATTCGGTGGCGTCCTCTTCGCAAATGCCTACCCTTTGCAAACAGTTACCCTACTTGTATTTTAAAAAATAAAAGTGAAACTAAAACGTTTTTGAATATAAATAAGAATTCATTCAGAAGAATGCTTTTTTAATATGGTTACGCTGACAAAAACCTCTTCCGGAGGAAGGGGTGGCTGTTTTTCTTCGTTTAATTTGACTTTAGACTGAAAGGCGAGAGGTCATTAAAATTTTAAAAACCCTAAAACAGCAATCGATCTGCGCACGCAATGAGGCGCTATTCCTATTCTTCTTCTGGAGAAACGTAAGAGAGCTTCAAAACAGACTGCAGCGCCATCTGAAGCAAAGAGCGGACTTCCGGTGGGACACTTTTTTGACTGAATGGACCATCTTGTTATGTACTATCTTTGTTATCAATCAATCAAAAGTTCGAAATGGTGGCGGAAACCATATTGTTATTTTTTGCCATGACATTACAGTTGTTGGCACTCGCAATCGCAATGGAGATATTTTATTTGGGCATAATTCAAAATAGAATGAGGGGGAGAGAATTGAAGTAGAAGAATATTCAAGCTTCACATGATTAAAACAATGCAGTTCTGAACAATTCTTCGGGGTGCAATGGGAACTCTAAGGGAACAAGTGCACACGGAACGTGGAGAAAAAGCTGTGCAAAATAGGAAAATGCACTCGCCACGAAGAATGACCCCCTAATGGACACGGCACGGGAGACGGACACACTACAGAGTCCTAAACACAGATATCTAAACTCTAATTATTATTTTGTCTTTTAAAGATTTTTAATGGTTGCACTGCCCTTGACGCACATTCCATGAAGAAACTTGAAAAAAACCCTGCTCTAAGTACTAGAACTAATAGATGTTTAGGGGTTCAGGTATTGGAAGTTTACTTCCGTATGCTATGCAAGAGGTAGCTGTTATTCTTGCAGAATTGGCGTCATTCGTCCTTGCGTGACAGGTAAGTTTAGTTTTCACGAAAGGATCCTTTTTTTACTTTTCGTCTTCTTCTTTTTGGAATACGGCGAACTTCATAAATATACCTCAATTTGGTCCTAGCTTGCAGGGGGGAAGAACCAGCGTTCTAAATGATCAAGATAAAGTGTATGTTGATGGGAAACGTTTTGTGATTGAATAGTTGCAATGGAAACCCCAAGTGTAGAATGATATAATCATTTTATAAAATATTTCTTTTATATTTCAGGCCTCGGGAGTGACGTGAGTTATGGCCGAACCCAGCAGTTGGAGGTTCAATTCCTCAGCCTATGCCCGATTTGTGAAAGAACTACCCTTGTCTGAAGTAAGTGAGGTAGTTGTTTCTCATTTTGTACGTGAGATAGGTGAGGTGGATGGGTGGATGGATAGATAGATAGACAGACAGACAGACAGACAGACAGACAGACAGACAGACAGACAGACTGACAGAGAGACA